CTGCAGCCGTGATGAGAGACACAGAGAAGAAGAGAGGAGGGATGGGAATGCATGCCCTTCTGAGACAGCAGCGAGATGTTACTGTATGTCATTCGGATGGGGCTTTGTTTTTCCTACAGACCTGAGATCTTGTCCGGGAGTGTTGGGGAAAGGCTGTGTGTAGGAGAAGGGAAACCAGCCTTTTCTATGAAGGAGAGTTCAGAACATCAGCTGAGCATCTGAATATCTGAACAGCAGCTCGTCTACGCTTGTTTTAAAAGGCCTGTTCATACAAGACTGAAATGGACAGGCTGGGAAACAATTGCTGATGAAGAAAAGTCTGTTCAAACCAGATGAAATGAAATGCACTGCAGTTAATAATATGCATTAATGCACAGAAACAAAGTCCCGCTGATAATATAGATTGCACTGTATTTCAGACGCATGATCCCAAAGCTCACACTTACTGTACTCCATCTTTCCATCTTCAGCAGCATTGTTGTCATTAACAAACACTAAACCTATTAAAAATGTCTTTAATTGAAATAAAACAGAAACAAAATTATTGAAATATTACACAAAAATTTTTACTTATTTTATCTCACTTAGCTAACAAAGCAACATTTCTAATTTCTAATCATTTAATTTAATATTTATATTTTATTTGAATCTAAATCTATTTAAATCTTGGATGAATTTTTGGTCATTTTGTTGTGTTTTTTTAATTTTTGGTTTTAAATTTTAGTTTCAGTCATTTTAGTACTTATTTCATTTCAGTTAGTGGCCAAAGCAACATTTCTAATTTTCATTTAAAGTACTTAAATTACTGAAATTAAAGCTAAAATAAAATTTCGGAAAATGTAATAAAACAAAACAGACTAATAAAAACGACAACAAAATACAACAAAATGGCCAAAAATTTAAATAAAATATAAATACGGAACAAAATTAAGCTAAAAGAAAATTAGAAATGTTGCTTTGGCAACTAACTGTAAATAAAATAAGTTTAAGTAATAAATTACCAAAATAAAAATGAATAAAAACATACATTTAAAAAAAATAACTATTAAAAAAGACAAACAATAAAAAGTTGGACAAAAAATGTAACTAAAATTAAAATAAACTATAAAATGAAACTATAAAAATACAAACAATTTCAAAATATTACTAAATACTATATTAATAATACTACAATAACACTGATCCTCAGGCAAAGTCTTGTCCCTGGCGTGAGGTCCAAACGAAAGCATTGTTTCGAAGGTCTTCACTCTTGGTGTGAACAGGCTTTAAACTTGCTTTGAACAAATGGAAAATCTTGGTTTATGCCAATCCATTGCAAAATGACCATATAAGCTTTGTTCTAGGAACAGGCCCCTCATATTGCTGCTGATAATTATATAGTTCTGCACCACAAATCAGTATGAAAATGACGCATAGCTAATGTTTAAAGTGCCCCTATTATGCCATTTTTAAGGTTGCTAATAATGTTTTATGAGTCTCCTAAAACAGGTTTACATGCATGCAAGGTCAAAAAACACATTAGTTTTCTCAAAAAACTGATTTCATTTGACCTCATTTCTAAATGATTCGTAAACGAGCCCTCACTGCTGTGATTGGTCAGATGGCGCAGTCCTTTGTGATTGGTCCAGAGCCGTAGAGAGCTTGCTCTGGATTGGATACAGGATACAGCGTCTTCTCGACATGACGGAAATGTTATGTCGAGAAGGCAAGTTGGCGACGTAGAACGTGGGCGGACATTATGCAAATGTGTTACTTCGTGACGTAGAGCCGTAACAGAATAAGATTCGAATTCCTGACGACTCGTTTAGGCGATTGCGAGCCGACTCTTTTTTTTGATAGACAATACCTTTATTTATCGTGCACTGTCGGCTTCACAACCTCGCAGATAGTTTATGTTCACATTCAGCTACATGCACACACTGCATGAAAGGTAATATTCGAAAAGGCACAATAGGGGCACTTTAACTGTCCCTGACTGAAAGGCTGATGGTCAGATACCGTCCCGAGCGCTCGTTCTGTCCGTAGTGCCAGCCGTCTCTGGGTTCACTGATCAGCAGGGACAGAGCGTCTCCAGGGAGGAAGGACAGCAGACATGAGCTTCCTCCTCGGTCTCCTGGCTTCTCTGCCTCGCAGGAGTCTGTGGAGTGAGGGAACAGAGCCTCCACACGGGGCGGAGCACAGAGCGGAAGCACTCGGGGAAGAGTCGAGCCTGAACAACACAACCATAACATACAGTTATAGAGAGCACAGAGACACAAAAATACATACTCAGGAATCTTCACATGGCGATCTCAGCTCATAGTGACCACGACTGCCAAGCTCCACAATAAAAGTCTCAAAATGCTTGGAATTAAGTGCACAGGTCATTGGACATATTTTAATGGTGTTATGCTCCTTCTTGAAGCTTGACGGCCGCCAGACGAGTGTGTGAATGCTCGTTTAAATTCACCTTTTTTGTTCCGCAGAAAACATATGGAAACAAGTGGGAAGAGTTTGAAACGGTGTTGTTATTGTTCTAAAATACTAAAAAAAATGATAAATATCACCTTGGTAACTAATTGAAATAAAATCGTTTCAGGTTAAGTAAATAAAAGTTTAAGTACTTAAATTACAAACATTAAAATAAATGATAATACATAGTTATAGATTTAAATTGAAGCTAAATGGAAATTATAAGAAACTAATAAAAAATTCTAAAGTACACAGTTACTAAAACTTAAAACTAAAATGAAAATAAAACATCTGAAAATTAAAACTATTAATAAATACTATAATAGTACAAATAATACTAAAATAACACTGTTATATATATTATAAATATATATCAAGACATGTCCATACTATTTTACCTAAAAGTAAAACTATATTTCACATAAAGAAAATTAAGCCTATTTTTTTTACACTATTATGTTTTACTTTTGGATTGTGCCATTCATGACAATTAAATCCATTTAATGTGAAAACAATCTCATTCTTACTACTGTAATGCAATAAAAAGAATATTATTCTAACTCTAAGGTGGATCTGGGATTATGCATTGTACTCTGTTTATTAATCATATTTGTATAATAAAAAAAACATTTAAAAAAAACCTGCATTACAGTAATGACAATGACATTTTACTTGAAGGATAAGTAAAATTATTTATATATATATATATACATGTAATATTATATTTGGGGCTAAAATAATTAAATATGACCTGTACATTTCTTAACACAACAAATGACTTTGAATTTAATAAAAAATGGCAAAAACACAGACACACACTCGCACACACACACACACACACACACACACACACACACACACACACACACAC